TTGGGTTGAAAATTTGAGAAGAAAGCAGATGTGTGATAGGAGGGGGGAAGAAGAACTACAGGTGTTTTATTTATTTATTTATTTATTGTCGGGGGGTTAGTGCAAGTAGCTGGCCTTGCCTAGGGCACAAAACAGTCTAGCACCAGCCTTTGTAAGACTCTTTAACAACAGAAAGTCTGAGAATCACCACTTAAGTCAAACAGTTTAGAACATAGCTACTTGTGGCCATCCTCATAAACAGTGTCCTTCTTGGTGAATTCTATGGTAGCTAGGGTGACAAAGTTTCAACACATTCGAGCTGGATTGCTCTGGTTGTAATTTGGGAGGGGCTCCCCATAGTAGCTGGGTCTTTTTTAAAAGCTAATAGGCTCTGGCTTGGCTACCTGCACGCTGGTTGGACAGCCTCTGGCTGGCAGCAGAGAGCCTCTCACCTGGTTATAGATAACTTGCCCAGCTACCTCTGCCTCACTCAGGAATATGAAAAATTTATACTCACTAGGCCTGCCGATGAACCCAGGGAGTAGTGGAAAAAGTAGTTACAGTGGTCTATGCCTGCATCTGAACATGGTGAATAAAAGTGCACTCAACTACATCCCTTAAACAGTCAGCATTACTTATAGCAGGGGTGGACTGACCATTCGGGCATTTGCCGAGGGCCCGGGGTCCATAGGGGGCCTGTAAGAGGATCACTGTCCAGTGACAGTGTGGGGAGCGGAGGAGGAGGCAGCCTCAGATTCCAACCCAGAAGTAGCTCAACTGTCACTTCACGTGGGGGCAGAGTGAGTCGGGTGACAGGTCCGGACACTGTGCTGGGTGCGGGGTGTTTACCGCACAAACCCTGCACCCCCCCCCCATAGATGATACGTATCAGGAACAAAGTTGGAGGTGATCGGTGCAGTGGAGGGACAGTGACAGCACCTATCTCCCTGCATGGATTTCAAAGAAGCATCTGAAAAGCGGGAGAGAGATGCTTCCAGCTGCCTCGTTGAAATCCATGCAGAGAGATCGGTGCTATCACTGTCCCTCCACTGCACCGATCATCCCTGACTGTCCATCGGATTTGCCTTCTTCCACTCCCCCAATTGCTCCTTAGCCCCCCTCTCCCAGCACAGGTCTCATACCTCATCTTCTCTGACAGTGTCCAGCCCCTCTCCCCATCCTCCATGGCAGAGCAGGAGAGAGGATCTGCTCTGCCTCTCCTGTCCAGATCAGTCGGCAGCTCTATGATGCTTCTGAATGTACACTCTCTCTCCCCCTTTCCCTCTCTCTCTCCCCCTCTCTCTCTTTACCCTCTCTCTCTCTCCCTCCCCCTCCCTCCCTCTCCCCCCCCCCTCTCTCCCCTCTCTCCCCCCCCTCTCTCTACCCCCTCCCCCCCCTCTCTCTTTCTCTCCCTCCCCCTGTCTCTCTCTCTCTCTCTCTCTCTCTCTCTCTCCCCTCCCCCTCTCCCTCCCTCTCCTCCTTCCTTTCTTCCTTCATTCTTTCCTCCCTCCCCTCCTTCCTCCCTTCCTTCATTTCTTCCTTCCTCCTTCCCACCCCCCTCCTTCATCCATTCTCTCCTTCCCTTTTCTTCCTTCCTCCCTTTCTTTCCCTCCCCTTCCTTCATTCCTTCCTCCATCCATTTCATTCCTTCCCCCATCCATTCCCTTCCTCCCTTTTCTTCCTTCATCCATCCCCTCCCTTCATTCTTTCCTTCCTTCCCTCCCTCACTCTCCCTCCCGTCCTTTCGCTCTCCCTCCATCCCCTTCTTTCCTTCCTTCCTTCCTTCCTTCCTTCCTTCATCCATTTCATCCCTCCTTTTTCCCTTCCTTCCTTCCTTCCTTCCTTCCTTCCTTCCTTCCTTCCTTCCTTCCTTCCTTCCTCCCTCCCTCCCCTCCTTCCTTCCCTCCTCTTCCTTCCTCCATTCATTGTCTTCCTTCCTTCCTCCATTCCCTCCCTTTTCTTCCTTACCTTCATTCCTTCCTCTATCCCCTCCCTTCATTTTTTTTCCTCCCTCCTTCCTCGTCCTTCAATCATTCCTTCCTTCTTTCCTTCCTCCATCCATTTCTTTCCTTCCTCCATCCATTCCCTCCCTCCCTCCCTTTTCTTCCTTCCTCCATCCCCTCCCTTCATCCTTTCCTCCCTCCCCTCCTTTCATTTAATTTCCTTCCTTCCTTCCTTCCTCCCTCCCCTTCTTTCCTCTCTCTTTCCCTCCCCTTCTTTCCTCTCTCTTTCCCTCCCTCCCCTTCCTTCCTCTCTCCCTCCCTACCATTCCGTCCTCCCTCCCTCCATCTATTCCCCCCTCCCCTCCCTCCTTCCTTCCTTCCTTCCTTCCTTCCTTCCTTCCTTCCTTCCTTCCTTCCTTCCTTCCTTCCCCCCTTCATTACTTTGTCCATCCATTTTCTTTCCTTCCTTCATTCCTTCCTTCCTCCATCTATTCCCTCCCTTTTCTTCCTTCCTTCCCTTCCTTTCTCCATCCCCTCCCTTCATTCTTTCCTCCCTCCTCCCTCCTTCCCTCCCTCCTTTTTTCTTCCTTTCTTCCTTCCTCCCTCCCTCCCTTCCCTCCCTCCCCTTTCTTCCTCCCTCCATCTATTCCCTTTCTTCTTTTCCTTCCTTCATTCCTTTCTTCCTCCCTTCCTTTTCTTCTTTAACTTCTTCCTCACCCCCCCTTCATTCTTTCCTCCCACCCCTCCTTCCTTTCCTCCCTCCTTTTTCCTTCTTTTTTTCCTTCCTTCCTCCCTCCCTTCACTCCCTCCCTTTCTTCCTTCCTCCATCTATTCCCTCCATTCCTTTACTTTCTCCCTTCCTTTTCTTCATTAACTTCCTTCCTCCATCCCCTCCCTTCATTCTTTCCTCCCACCCCTCCTTCCTTCTCTCCCCTCCCTTCCTCCATCCATTCCCTCCCTCCCTTTTCTTTCTTCCCTCCATCCATTCCCTTCCTTCCGATATAAGGGGGTACAGGTTCTGTTTATTCATCCCAATCTAATGACAGCCCAACATATACTAGTGCTCCCTGTTCACTCCCTACTGACACTGATAATAAAAATTTAGATAATAAAAATTAAAAAAAATTCTGACACCCACACCATTGCTCTACTGACACCATCCACTGGCCACCCAAAAGCATTTTGAAAAAAAAACGATAAAAATAATAAAACATACATTTTTTTAAAAAATCATAAAATTGTAAAAAAAAATAATACTAATAAAAATGAAAAACTACTGACACCATCCTACACATACTATCCACTGTCATACACTCCACACACATTTCCTATTTAACATTACCTTATTCTGCAGACACTATTTAACCACACCCCTTTTAAGCCGTGCCCAATTCTTAGCGCAATTTAAAACACACCCCTCCTCTATCATCCCCTCCTCTCTCTCTCTCACCCCTCCTCTTTTTCACCCTCTCATTCCCCTCTCTCTTTCACTTCCCCCACATGGCAGCCATAGTTAAACCTGGCAGTGCCCAGTGGCTTCTACGGAAAGAAGTCAGGCACATTTATGCAGTCTTTGCTGCAGTAAATATTTAAATGCCCCTTCTATAGAGCTGAGCTGCAATATGTAGGTAGGGTGTTGTGTGTGGCTTGAGTGTAGGCGGGGGCACAGGGGGCCCGATTATCTCTTACTGCCCGGGGGCCCCATGAGTTGTCAGTCCCCCCCTGACTTATAGTTTATTTTTTTTCTTTGAGGAGCCTTTTTAATGAAACAATGCAATATGAACTATGATTAAGGTCTTACTGGCAAGTTAGCATCTTTACTAGGACTGGATTTTAACTGCTTTTGACAATAAACTGTATGCAAGGATCTTCACTGGAGTGCATTTTTTCCATGGTGTATGCTTTGTATGAACTGCATGCACATTTAGAGGATTTATTATCATATCATTATTATGAAGCAAAATTGCTCTAACCATATGACATATTTTGACACATATTTGTATCCTCCAAAAAAAAAAGAGGAAAAGCATTAATCCACTACCAGTAATTATAGCTGGTGACCCATGAAGTCAATTCCAAACTCTATATAATCTCTGCTATTAAAAATGACCCTTCTGTTATTATAAGGGATTAAATAGCAGAAGATGTGGGTAGTACACCTGGTAGGAAGATGTGTTTTACAATGGCTGAAAGACCTCTGAGTGAAAGGTTACATGTTTATATTGACTTATTGCTCCATTTTGGGAACACTAAAATGGTCATTCCTGCTTTCTTCAACCAAGCCTTTCCACTGACCACAAGAAAGAATTTTAACTGACATAGGTCCAGATGTTCTTTTCAGAACTGAGGTTATATGCAGAGGTCATGTAACTCTTTGTGATCATGTTCTTATAAAAACATATTTGCGATGGATTTGCTTGACATTTCCAAACATTCGTACATTTTTTTTTCTGCTAGAAAATCAGATGTTTATGTTTATTTTTTTCCTGCAAGAAGCAGTGCATGATTTAATTCATAATCTAAAAGTCACCTACATGTGCCTCTTATATTATTATGGCAATGCAAAGTTTAAACGGGAACTTCCCCTCTCCTGTGTCCCCAAGAGTATCTCTTTTTTTTTTTTAGTTAACTGTTGTGCTGAACTAATATAACTGCACCACAAAACTAGCGTTGTCCTGATTTGATCTGCCACTCTACTGCCACATGCTGGGTCCTGCATCACCATCTTCATCTCTGATGTCATCGAGAGACTGATGTTGCTTCCAGGTTCAGAAAGTTACCCCTGAGACACTGCCAGCTCCATCCTCCTCCACCAATGTGTAGAATCTGAGACCTCCTGGAATATCTCATGTGCACATCCCAGGAGGCCTTAGAAGAGTGCTCGCCTAGGAAGTTGAGGCCGGGCTGGAGTGTTAACCAGTTCAGCCTCCATATAGCAGAACTACTGCTACAGGGCGGTAGGGTTGCGCAAAATCATGTATACACTCACACATTGGCGGCTACAGCTGTCAATCACTGGGTCCCAGCCGGAGATCCCCCACCGGCACCCAGTGATCCCCGAGGAACAGTGAAACAGTGTGTAAACAACACAGATCTCTCCTCTGTCAGCACCGACATGCTACTTTGTATAGCTCTGCATAGCAGGGCAATACAAAGCAGTATGTGTCCCAAGTAAAACACACACAGCACACCTAGTAAAACAGCACACAGTAAAACACACACAGTAAAACACACACAGCACACAGTTAAGCCTTTGATTGCCCCAGATGTTAACCCCTTCCTGCCCAGTGTCATTAGTACAGTGTCAGTGCTTTTTATTAGCACTGATCACTGTATAAGTGTCACTGAGCGTTGGATTTTCTGAGACACATATAGTACTTCTTTAGTGTCTATAGGCAATTTTGCAAATGAAAGAGCCGGAAAGGTAAAAAATAAAGTGTGATTTTATTTTATCACACAATGGCTTAAAATAACAATGTAAAGCGTATCATGAACAGTTTCATGTAGATAAAACCAGAAATATCATAGCGGAAGTTTAAATATGTGTAACCCTTATGTCCATTACCTCATGTCCTTCTTCCATGTTCAGTTTGTCCTTCAGGGTCTTTGAGAAAAAGCCGGAAGTAGACGGAAGTGACTAATTCTTGTCTTACAGCACCTGTTCCAGCTTCTCAGAATGTTCTTATGCGTGTCTGTATGGACAGACGTGTGTGTGTGAGTGTGTGTGAGTGTGTGTCTGTGAGACTGTCCCTTACGGCCATTTTATGAAACAAACAATGCTGCTTAGCAGAGCAATTTTTTTGAATGGAGGGGACGCTACATATATGGTCTTTTGATTGACAGGCACATATGTAGTGACCATATAAGCTGGTGATCTAACATCAGCTTGCTCATATTTAAATGATAATATAAATTAAGAATGTATCTTTACAACATCTCAATAATGTTGTATAACCACAAATCTACGTACGTAACAATATTTACCAACTTATAAATCAAACTAAATACACACAGATATTGTTAGAATACATTATGTAATACTTATACTATTTTGGTTACTCCATGACATTCTACACTAGAGTCTTCTAACCAGCTATGCCCTATTATATAGGGAGCCGGCGAGTAATCACTGTCTGGGACCCCAATAAAAAAATGACTGACAGCTCAGGCCACAAATGGAACTGCAAAATCACACACATATATATATATTTTATTTTTTATATATATATATATATATGTGTGTGATTTTGCACATCCGTGCCACCCTGTAGCAGTCCTTCTGCTATAGGGTGGATGGGAAGCTGTTAAAGTGATATTAACCACTTGCCCTCTGGAGGATTTACCCCCCTTCCACCAGGCCTCTTTTTGCTACTCGGCGCTGCACTAATTCAACTGATAATTGCGCAGTCATGCAATGCTGTATCCAAACAAAATTTACGTCCTTTGTTTCACACAAATAGAGCTTTCTTTTGGTGGTATTTGATCACCTGAGTGTTACAAAAATAGTGATAAGTAGACTTAATTGAAACAAACCCATATACAGTATCAATACACCCACAATCAAATTAAAGTCAGTTTAAGTCCAAAGAAAAATTCTTGCAGGTGATTTCACAATCATTGATATCCCCGAATAAGATTGATGGAATACTCCAGAAAATCTTCATATACCACAAAAAAAAAAAATTCTCGACATAGTGTATTATCCAAGGTATTATGATATAGTGCCACACGTGTCACATGCAACAAACTGAAGTGCCACAGCAATCGTGAAATGTCAGAACTCCAACAACTCGATTAATGAATCCACTGCACACAATATAAGAAGTGCATAATTACCCTAACATAGACAAAATCAGCATAGGGTCCATAATACAGATGAAATGGCTTCCAAGCTTTAGTCTACCCTCTTCTCCAAAGACTTCCCATAGACCTCAATGGATAGACCAGGGATCAATATATATATTAAATAACCAATAATTTTTATTGTAGCAACTTACATTAAAATTTGATGAGAACAGCTTCCATATAATGAGCACAACATGTCATGATTCCTCAGCGGTAGCTATATGGTCAAATCCATACCACTCTGAAGGAGAGCCAGGTGGTAGATGGAAGTTTCCAGGGTGAGAACAGCGGCGTGTCTCGGAACCCAAAAATGGCCGCCACGATACTTCCGGAAAAAACGTCAGTACGTCACCACGTCACGTGCCCCGGACGCGTTTCGTCACATCCGGACTTTTTCAACAGGGATACGGACCTGTGTGCTAACTCGCTATAAATACCCACTGACTGGAGAAACGAAAACCCAAGCCGCGGCCATCTTACATTCTGGAAACCAGATATATATACCCTTATGTTCCAGGTTCAACTCGGCTAGCAAACAGGCAATCTACCCACATTAGCCACCTTATATGCCCTGGCCACAAACGTATATTTTAAAAACATAACCTGTCTATGGTACAGGTGACACGTCGATAATGGCCATTCATAACAGTGGAAAAGACTGACATATAAATTTAATAGAAAAAGCCTCAATAAAATATTATATTAAATAAGGGATCAGAGCACTACTCCACGTGACTATCTTTTCCCTCGTAAATCCGAAACTTATATGTATAGCCTGTTGCCTTCTCACAGGTCTTCTACATCTTGACCCCATATCTGGCACGCTTGCTGGGGAGAAATTGTTTGAATGCAAGGCGGCCAGAAAAAATTAATGAGGGACTCATCAATGCAGATGTTTTGCTGGGGAGTATAGACATCTCCAAATTTTTGGTTAAGGTGATTTGCGAGGGCCTGAATTTTGTGGAGCCGGTCAAATTAAGGGTCACCCAGAGGACGGCAGAGTGCTTTGTCGTTGAAATGCATAAAACACATTATACTCTCATATCTATGCCTGGGCATGGCAGCAGAGAACACGTGATATTATGAATTGGGTCTGCGGACCAATACAACCGCAATTCATTTTGTTTTTGAGGGTTAGGTCCAAAAAAAATTTAATTCAGAAACCGTAATGAGTTTCCATGCGAATGTTCTGGCAAGGTTTGAATTTGGGTTGGCGGTGATAAATTGTTGTGCATATAAATTGCTTTGATCCACAAACAATGCATACAGATCTTCCGTGAAAAACAGCTCCATAAAATAAAGGGGAGTAGTTAAATTTGCTGTTTTCACCTGAATTCAGGGTTGGGCAGTGAATGTGGGAAATATGGGTGCTGCAGAATTTGTGGGCTGCCTATCAGGATTTGCAAGCACATCTGAAAGGATACTAGGGGCTCTACGAGCCTGTGTGCGAATTCTTCGTGGCTGCAGACAATACTTGTGCTCGCCACCGCACCAGCTTGTACTGCACTTATGGGACTCGCCACATCACCAAGTCATACTGCAGTGCTGGTATTACTATTATTATTATTATACAGGATTTATATAGTGCCAACAGTTTACTCAGTGCTTTACAATATAACGGGAGACAATACAGCTTGATCCTGGGAGTTTACAATCTAAGAGGTATGTGAAAGACCAGGATGTACTAGGCCGCTGGTATTCGCCAGTTCACCAAAAGGTAGTGCGGCACTAGTACTGGCACTCTGCTGCATATGAGAGTCATCAAAATTTACCCACAAGTGCTAACAGAGATCAGGCCTGATTCTGCGAACACTGTGGTTTTGTGTGCAATGTATCAAGTGACAGTGACCTACTGACACTGCACTTGCTGGGGGGTGTAAACGTAGGGTCTAAACACAGGTGCTGGCAGGTGCCAGGACTGATTCCGATAACCCTGCATTTTTGGGGACGCTATACTTCTGTGAATGCTGGTATAGTGCTGATCAGACACTATACTAGCAATGGAGGTTTACTGTGTATGAGCATGTTCCTGGCAATCAAGGGGTGAAATGTGATTACTGGTATACTGACGGCCAATCTGACGCCATCTGGGAGCAGCGTGAACACCGCGGGATCATGAATTACGTATATATATGTGATTTTGTGCACCTGTCCCACCATGTAGCAGTATTTCTGCTATAGGGCGGTCAGGAAACGGTTACATAAGTGGTTTGTGTTATGGCGCTGCGTCATTTTAACTGACAATTGCACGGTCATGCAACGCTGCACCAAAATGAAATTTACGGCCTTTTTTCCCCAGGAATTGGGCTTTCTTTTGGTGGTATTTGATAGCCTGTGCATTTTTTATTTTTTGCCCTTAAAAAAAAAGACTGACAATTTTGAGGAAAAAAAATAATATTTTTGACTTTTTGCTATAAAACATGTCCAGTAAAAAAATTTAAAAATCAAATTTTGACATAAATTTAGGCCAAAATGTATTCTGCGACATGTCTTTGCTGAAAAAAAATTCCAATACGTGTAAATTAATTGGTTTACGTGAAAGTTATAGCGTTTACAAATGGCGGTACAGATAATGGGATTTTTTTATTTTGTATACTAATAATAGTGGCGATCAGCGACTTATGGCGGCAATCAGCGACTTATGGTGGCAATCAGCGATTTATGAACTGACTTGGGGTCACTGACATCCTCAGTGACACCAATACAGTGATCAGTGCAAAAAAAAAAAAAAACACTGACACTGTACTAATGGCACTGGGGAGGAAGGGGTTAACATATGGAGGCAATCAAAGGGTTAACTGTGTGAGGGGGATGTTTCACTAGGGGGCGAGGGGTGTGTGCCTCTCTGTTACACACTGTTCTGGAAGGCTGAGCTCAGCGATCCTGGAACAGTGTGCTCAAACTAACAGGGAAGAGAGCTGCACTGAAAACAATGCAGCCTTCCTCCCTGTCAGTGTTTGCTGACAATCGCCAGGCTCCAGCGGGTAATCACCTGCTGGGACCCGGTGATTGACACCCGCGGTATTGTCTGCAGCGATCCCGGAACAGTGTGATCAAACTGACAGGGAGTAGAGCTGCATTGAAAACAATGCAGCCTTCCTCCCCGTCAGTGTTTGCTGACAATCGCATGCAAACTGTTGGCGCTATATAAATCTTGTATAATAATAATATTTTTTAAAGTGGAACTTTACCCATAACAACTTGATATAAAAATAATGTTGGATTGTACAACATATATTCCACAATATATATTAATATTATTATAATTATGCCACCAAAATAAGTGTGTACTGTAAAAAGCCTCCAGCATTGCTTCTGTTTCTTCTTGCTGGAAGCTGCCATTTTGCTGAAGCCAGAGCCCCTGAACATCAGTAAACCATAAAGCGGAAACTAAAGCCATCGGTTTAACGGTTTCAAAAAACAGTAACATTCTTGGAATGCCAGGATTGCTAACTGTCACATTTGCTTGTGTCCTCAACCAAACTGTGAAACCATCAAATGGCTGGTGTCATAACTGATCACATGAGTGGCATCATGGCAGTTGC